ATCTGTCTTACTTAACACAGCCGTGTGTTTGTACCCTTTCATGGAGGTGCAGTAGTGGCGGGAGGAAAGATCTGCTCCATCAGCCACAGCGTACTGAGCAGAAGGGACCTGTTGCCCTGCCTGCACCCTGACTAGTGAGCTGGCCTCATCTTAGCAGACCAAACTTTCCCTTTTTCACAAAGCCTTTAAAAAAAAGGCTAATGGTATTAATATACTAACATACTGGGTGATCATGTCTTTTCTTCTTCCCCCTCCTAACGATGTAGTAAAATATAAGGTGCCATACAACTAGGTGTTTTATTACAAGAGGTCACTTTGAGTAACTGGAAATGACTCGTTAATTATGGCACTCTCGTATGTGGAGCTGCACAGAGAATGCACATGGCTTACACAAAGGAGTGGAAGCATAAATTGATACACTCTCTTGTGATAGGACTGAGCCTTAATTTATACCTACCAGTCACTGACAGTGAAAGGAATGCACCTTGCCAAGGACAGCTTCCAGACACAACCATTTTCTAGTAGGTATGAGTTGACACGCTACAGGAGATCCACGGCTTGCAGACCGATAAGGTGCTCCTGACCTGTTAACATCCTTCATATTATCTCACACTTGCTCTCTTCCTATCCCATTTCATGTCAGGGAGCTATGGGAAGCCACTGAGATTTGTTTGTGTACTGGGAATGCAAGGTCAGGACCATAACTGATTTACAGCACCCTTGGAAACAGTACTCGGAGATGGTCCAACGTGTACAGGATGAACAAGGTTAGCAAAACAAAGCAACTGCTGCTAGATCAGAAAACTTGCTGCTTTCAAGCTCCCTCAAACTTTTAGAAACTGGCAGTTAGCTCTTTTATTTGCATTGCAGGACTAAAAAAAAGTGTATTAAAATATAATTAATTGACAGTCAGACATCTTGAAATATAACAAAACGTAGTTAGCTTTGTATGATCATCCCTTAAACAAGACAGTTCTGCTACTCCACCCAGTGTTGCTTTTTCTGGCTGCTTCTCATTTTTATCTTACATTACCTTATATCTCACCTTTTCAAAGTTAGTCTGAAAAATAAATGATCATTACTTACGATAATTTCCCCATTTCTGTATATAGGATTTACATGAACTTCTGTCAAGTTCTACCCATAATATTATTAGACACAAATATTATTCATATTTCTAGACTGACAGCGCTTCTCTCAAATCCAGATAATACGTTTTTCTCAGAAAATGACTGTCAAAGAGTGCCCTCTTATCCTCTTAAAGTTACTGTTCTAATGACGTTAATAAATGTCACACATAGTATGCCTACTGAAAGTGGTCATTACACACATACCAAGAAGTAATTTTACGTGTTTCATTTGCAGATGTTTCTACTGATGATTTACAAATCTGAAGACAAACAGTGGTCAGAACATCAACATTTTTGCACACAGAAATCAGTATTTTCACCTAAACATTTAACAACATTTTAAAGCAATTTGGGGTATTCAGTAGAAAAACCTTAATGACTAAGTTTTTATCAGTAAAAATGGCATGAATATATTTTGATGAGGTTATAGCTTTAAACAGGTATTCTTTCTTCTTTGAAATCAGTATTGAAAAACCATATCGTAATTGTAGCCATACAAAATGTTTATTATATTACAAATTATTTGTACACTATATTTTCACTTTGTCATTGCTTTGTGCTCAGACAGTATAAATATTACAGCATGATGTTTCTTTCACAGGAATGTCCTTACTGTCTTGATATAATCTTACTTTGTACTTAACAAAAAGTAATACAGAAACAAATTACAAACAGGATAAAAAACCATTATGAGTGAAGAATGTAAGATGACTTTGTGAATAAAGTGCACCACAATGGTTTCACAGTTATGGTTCAGGGAATATTCAATAGACTGCACATTGTTGATATAATACAAAAAAAAATTAATCTTGAAAGTCTAACAGGTCTTCCTCAGTAGTATGAAGAGTACTTTGTTTAACTTTACTGAAATGGTTTATCTTTCTAGAAGGTTATTTAAATTTTTTTATTTGGGTTTTTTTAATTTGTTCATTTTGTTTGCACGTAGCCGTTCAAACCCTGTACATCTATGTCATTTCCAAACTTTTAAATTTCTAGTATGGCAGCATTTATGCTTCATCATGTAAGATATATGAGGCTTTACCCTTACATATTTTTCAACAGAACTACTAAATTGTTGAAATTGAAGAATGGGTACGGATTTACAAACAGAGCTAATTGTCCCAAAGATGCTGTTTAAATCTGGTACATCCTACCTCCTGTGACTCTTTTGGAATACATCATAACATTACCCTTCCTGGCTATATGGCTTCAGCTCTCCCACCCATATGGTTTCTGCTGCTTCCATGCTTGCAGCTTTACGATAACTCTGCAAAACTGGCGTCTAAGACACAGAAATGTATTTCACAGCACATTTCACTTGCATTGCATAGAAGGGCCTATTTACTTGCAAAATTTCACTGGGGTAAATAGAAGAATCATTCAAAAACAGAGGTAATAAAGCTGATGCAAAATGTGGCTGACATTTAGTGTAGATTTCATTTACCAAGTTAGGTTAAGCCAGTTGTGAACCAGCTTAGTAATAAGAGTAAGCCACTCTTCAATTAGGTCTGCATTCAGATTACAGTGACTTTGACTGAAAAATAAGCAGAACATCATTCAAGGTATTCTAGTGAAACTTGCACATACAGACAAATCCTAATAGAGAAATTCAGCCTTGCTCTCAACAAGTTCCCACTGAAGCCAACCAGAACTAGTCTTTTTGTGGCACACTAAGTTTGGCCCAGTATTTTTCAGTTGTTGTTTTAAAGTGTGATACTCTTAGGCAGTGAACACAATTTGGATGTGTTGCATGACACTGATAAGATCAGTATTATTTAGCTGACAGGTAACTGAGACAGCAGTCTGTCTTTACTAGACTTCTATTAATATGAAAGATTGAGTTTCTTTGGTTGTTTCATATCCAAGTCACTCAAATGTATATTTGTGTACTCCAGACACAGCATGTTTATATTGATCATTAAAATTACTAGGGGTTTTTTTTTGTTGGTTTTTTTTTTTTTTTTTTGCACTTGATTTATGGAAATTTTCTGACTATAGCAGAATAGTCACTTCTATAAATATACAGCACATATATACACAGAAATTACAAAAATACCTTTTATTTATATCTGATTTTTAAATAATAAAAATGAAAATTCACATTTGTTGAAAGATTAGCAAGCATTCCAAAAGCTTCTGCAGTATTTAAGGTACTGGAGCAGAAGACATCTGTATAGTCTAGGATAACTATGTATCACAACCTCAGTCAGGGTTTATAATATAATTATTTGGGGGGAAAATAGCTCTTCTTTAAAAGTTTGTGCTTCATCAATTTCTTCTTCTATCCCCTATTCTAGTCTCCTCTCTCCTCCTCTCATCTTACTGATGGGCAAAAAGCTAAGCCAAGTTCCCTTTCTCACCTCGGTAAAGACCAAAGAAACTCAGAAATGAAATGATCAGACAAAATAGCATAAGCAATTGAGGATAACAAAATAACTTACTGAAATGAAGGACATTACCTTTAGCTCCAGTTGACATCAAACATGCCCAACACGACATATTTTGCAACAACTTCAGTTCCCAAAGCTAATTGCTGAAGGAACTGAAAACAATTGTTCATGATCTCCAACTAGTCTGTACAACTGCAAAAGATGAACTATTGTCCCACTCAGCTGGTTCGATTTTCTGTTGGGATTGGATTCATACAACAATACGCTTTAACAATTAGTGACCTTTATCTTGCACAACATAAAGTCAGTGTAATTTCTGGAAATGCTCTCTTTTTCACAGAACATTAGTATTTTTGTTAATCCATGTAACCATTTACTTATTTACACGTTAATACAATAATCAGGTCCTCTACATTCTGATCCACTGTGCATTCGGTGGTACAGTGTAATCAAAATCAACTGCAGCTTCAGGTAACACTTTCTGGTATCACTTTTGTAGATATCATTGTTTAAGAAAGAGAAAAAAAGCACTGTGTTAAACAGAGCTTTTCTTGTCCAAGCAGGTGTATTCATTATTCCAGGTTGGAAAGACTTGCTCAAAGATCTCAGGTTTACCAGCTTCACATGCATTCAGACTGAAAAGCCTGAATATAGAGCAAACGCGAATAACCTTTTTTTCATTTCTCCTGCAAGCTTCTAGCACCAATATCCTTTGTTGGCTCTTCGTGTATTGTATTCTCTCACGCTGAAAAAAATCTCCTCCATAACTCATCAGTGGCATTCAGGGACAAGGGAGCCAGCCACTGATTATCAAAATATCATTCACCTTCTTCACAGCCTTCTCTTCTTTCACTTCTTTGTACTGTTAATAGGATGAGGAGAATTGGGGCTATTTACAGTACATTTATTTGTATCACTCACACATCTCTAATTCTTTTGGTTTGAATACAGTCTCTAGAATGAAAAGGCTGAACGGCTCTGCATTGCTGAAATCAACATCCCCTACACAACGTCCTGCAGCAAACAAGTAACATGGCCACCGCCACACCTACTGTGGCCTTGAGCTACCTGTGTTCTATGTATTTTCTTCTTTAATCAAAGTTTTGACATGCAAAAGTTATTTCCAGCCACCCTACCTTTGGACCTGCAAATGAAACGTTGCATGGCACAGACGTGTTCAGCAGCATCTCTAGCGATGATGGGTCATAGTATGAGAGCTAAGTGACAAACAATTGTATATGATCAATCTTATCCTTATTAAACAGTTACCTGGCAGCATTTCCTTAGCTGGCAAGCAGAATTACGTAACTTCAGAGTCCTGTTGCTCCAATTTAAGTAATTTCATGGTCTTGTATTTTCAGACAAGAGAAAAATGCCATCACTTTGGCACAATTCACAGCAAGTTTGTAACTGAAAATTAAAGGAGTCACTTTCTTGGCTACCTCAGGTTGCATGACACACGTGCTGTGCAGAAAAGATGTTAGACCTGGAACTCAAACATGTCTGTTTGCTTCTTGGCCAGCTTAGCAACTTCTTCTCTTATTGCCTTTACGAGGGCAGCTGTGGAAATGTTGGTGAGAGGAGCATCAGACGGGTCATTTTCTGTCAGGCTCTGCTGAGAAGCTGCAGTGGACGGCAAAGGAGCTTGTTCCAGGCTGGGGTGCATGCTGGCTTGCTGGCTGTATTGGCGAGGGAGTCGGGAAGGAGAATTATGTTGGTAGCGGGACCTCGGGTAAGCCTCGATGTATCCAGGAAGTGGAACCTGTAGAGCATTGTAATTATACAAGATTACACAGAACAATTGATCCATAGTGCCACCTGCCAGGTAGCACAAACCTCCACGGGGCAGGATAAGATGCAACGGACAGCACTACATGAAGAGAATGTAAACGTCACACTCCTAAGCATCCATAGTAGTACAACGTGTGAACATGCCACTAGAGGCCACCAGGTTACTACTTTCTCTCACTACACAGCATCTAGCAATTTGGAAAATAAATGCTTTGTCGGATACAGTTGCCTTCTCCCACAAAACTTAGTGCTTCAGTAATTACCATTTAACTGAGAAAATAATGCAGTAAATTGAGCTTATAATTCTTTGTTATCAAATCTCCTGTTGCCTCCCTTCCCTTGTTTACAGTCCAGCTAGTAGAAACGCATGAAAAGTAAAGAATTTAGATTTTGACCTTATAGATATTAAGCCTTTGTTCTTACTAATTGTCAAGAAAATCTTGGAAGCATGATCAAGCTATAATCTAGAGGCTCAGAAATCAGAAATCATCCAGAAACTCAAACCCTGGGTATTACTTTAGATCTTTGGTTTTTTGCAGGTTTTTTCGGGCTTTCTGACTGCATTATTTTGCTAACACTATTACTAGTTCCTCTAGTATTGATTGTCAAAGAAAGACAATTTCTTGACAACTCAAACCCTGGGTATTACTTTAGATCTTTGTTTTTTGCAGGTTTTTTCAGGCTTTCTGACTGCATTATTTTGCTAACCCTATTACGAGTTCCTCTAGTATTGATTGTCAAACAAAGACAATTTCTTGACAATTGGGAGGTGCAAATTTCTTGTAGAAACATCAGTATTTTGTTTTCACATTTTTTCCTCTTCTCAAACTCACAGGAGGGCTGAAAATCTGAGTGACAAGAATTTGTTAAAGCTCTGTAACGGGTAAGTGAAGTTAAAAGGAACTTTTCTTTCCTTTTAATTCTACATTGCCACAGTTGCTTTTCAGACAGCTTCTCGCATCCCTCTCCATTCCTCTGTGTACACTCCATCGGCACTAACTGCTCTTCCCACCTCTTTCCTTGAAGACAGGGAAACCCACAACAGGGTTACACTTTCTCCTTCCAGAGAACTGGCAGCTGGAGACTTGCTTTCCAGCTTTGTGCAGTTCCTCCTCAGTCTCCACTTGTGACAAGTGATATCTGACTCTTTTTCATGGGACTGCAACCAAGGAGTAGGGATACATAAGGGAAAAATAATGGAAGACAAAATAATTTTCCTGATTCATTTTATGGAGGGTTTTTTTTCTTCTTAAAGAAAAAGATTAAAATGATTGCTTAGGCCCAACGGGCCTCCTGGATTTAAAATGTCAGTAGGGTTAAAAACAAAAAAAAAACCCAAATCAACTAAAAATACTGAAACAAAATACAAAGGAAAATAAAAAGGTTTTCCATGCTTTAAAGGGCAGCTCTGGGAAGGGAATCTGTATGACAGCATCACAAGCCTCCAGGTGCCAGGGGCACATCAGCAGATGTGCTCAGCTTACAGAGGAACATCTTTTTTCTTGACAGTTCAGCCTACAAATTCAGACTTGCATCTGACAGTCAAACTGAATTCTTTTCCTCATAGGCATCAGGAGCAGTAATAAAGATTTGGCAACAAATAGCTGCCCCCAGGAACATTTATACAACTGTGTTGTCTCTTGCTTAGCTGCTTAAAGCCAACTATTAGACTCCAGTGGCAATTCACTGAGGTATTCTGTTGATGATGTGCACAAGGAAATAGAATCCATCCCCCAGTTTGTTTAGCTGAATGGGTTCTGCATAAATACCAGATGTGATCTCAAGCAGCAGAATTGATCTTCTTTTTCCTCATACAAAAAAAGCCCTACGTTTTTGAAATTGTTTCAACCATGATAAACTACTGCAATTCATTTTAGGACGTCTCAGCTTTATTCTTTGAAATATAGGTATACTTCGGGCTAAAAATTACATCTGTCCCAGACTAGGATTGCACAGTTAATTATTTAATTTATGATCAATTAATTATTTAATTTATGATCTGTCACTGCAGCTTGCCAGAGGACTTGAAACACTCATGGCAGGGCTGCGGTGGAGCCAGGATTCGGAAGCTGGGCTGTCTTTAGAGAAGCCTCCAGAAGGGAAAGATGCCCAGCTTCCAAACAGCACAAGGCCACCTTGAGAGGCAGCACACGTACTCCTGCCACGTCCCTATCCAAATATTTAACCTCTGTCTCGGAAAAGAAGAATGGTACTTAACCCATCAACTTTGAATGGGTGCCAGCCCCTAACCTAGGGATGATTTAACTCTCTAAAAGACCTTACTTACAGTTCATGGGGTGGACAGCTAAAGTATCTATGTCCCCTCTCATAACTTTTCACTACTAGAGATTATTACTATTCAAGGAAGAATTACCTTCCTCGGATTCTTTGCTCATCAGTTAGCAGTGCTTCAAACCCGTCCTCTGCAAATAACAGAAACTATATGCAGTTAGAAAAACAAGGATGCTTACTGAGTCTGCCCACTGCCCTGGTAATTCATTTTCTCCAGCATAGGGCATCCAGGCTTGGTTCCTGTATGCGCTCGGTGGTGTTGGGATAAAATAGCCTGTGAAGCCAGGTCGGTTTGCTGCCGGTATGGCAAACACTGCTGGTACAGTACTTCCTATTAAGAAACAGAGTGGATATGATTAATAGCTAATTTCAGTTATAAAATAGACAATAATGCTATTGAAGTAACTGGCCACAGTCATTTTTAGTTTTTTATGGGTGAGAATATGATCACCATTGGCTGGATGTAAGGCTCCCACCATCTGACTAGAACATCTCTATCATGCTGGGAAATACTGGAGAAGGCAAGATTTGCAGCTGTCTATATAATCCTATATAATCATTCACAGCCTTCAGATAAAGATATGAGAACTTAGTCCTTAGGACTTGATCGTTGTAACAACTGATCTTCATCAAAACTTTGAATCATTAGAGAAAAAAAAAATATTTTTCCTCTTACATTTGCTTCCTTGTGTTCAATTTTTAGCTGTTGTTACCATGGGTTTCAGAGTAGTGCACCTTTCTTTTCAACAGCAGGCTATAGAGCAGTCAGTTTACACAGTAAAACTGTCTTAATATCTCTAGGCACAAAATCCACAAAAGTGAGTGAGCGATACACTTAAAAGGCTGTAATCTCAACAACCCCATCATAAAACTTCAATGTTTCCATAAAAAATAGCAAGGCTCTACCTGCTCAATTCCTTTTCTGGGAACAGTCTATGACTGCAATAAATTATGCAGCTATGACTTAAATATTTCCAAGGAAACTTGTAGATACCAAATCTGTTTTATCATGTCTTGATCAAGATGTTTGAATAGGGATATCCAGGGAAAAAAATTAAAAAGGAAGAAAATTGAGGGATATGTAATCTAAAATATGGAGTAAAAACTTCCATGTTATGTTGGGTATTTACACAGTGTTTTCTACTGTTCGGGCTTAAGTCCAAGCTTCCATTCTGACATCGGGTTGTAGTGCCTTTTCACTTATGTCAGGGAGGATGCTGGAGACACTCAGCCCTCAGAGAAGCAGTCACCATGGAATTGCTACAGACCAGTGGGATCTATCACATATGCCTGCACAGCGGGTAGCCACAGGGTATCTCACAGGACCTCTCTCCCAGTTCCTCCAGTCCCTTGGTTTGGAAAGAAGTGGGCTAAGAGAAGAGGCGTGGGTGATCTCTGTTCTTCCCAGGTCACAGACAGCACAGTTTGCTATTTTAAATGCGTAAGCAAGGCTGGAAATAAACATTCTTCAGAGAACAAAGTGCTGCTCCTGTAGATGACACATGGCTTCTACACTAAAATGCTCGTTTAATTTAACCACACCAAAATGAGTTACTGTTCAGAATGAACACTCAGTTAGCTGATGGAACACCTTATCCCAATTTTTACAGCAACATTGTTATTTTAGAGCTGATGTTGATGGGCTGCATGAGAGCAATATTAGACTATTTCATGCCAAATCAGCACCTGCAGCAATGTCTCTTCATGTATTGAGGCAATAAAAATTTATTTTCCTATCAGAATGTTAGAAATCCTTGTATTACAGTTTCAGGTTTCACACAACTCTCCCTGTCTTCCCCTATATTACAGCCTTTTGTAGCATCTATACTATACGAAAGTTTCCTCTAACTACCTCCAGAATTTTTGTGGCAAACTCCACAATGTACACAAAGGTCACTTTGTCTCTTCTGAAATGCAGCCACTCTTCAGTGGCAATACGAGATACTTGCTTTTCACATACAGCAATAAAATCTCCGCATCACTGGAAATTATAAAAAAGTATATCACACAGAACTCATTACTGCAGACGTGAAGAAAGAGCTCTTGGTAGTGTGGCATATTTTATAGCTTGAAATGCTTTAAAATGAACGGGTGAGCATCTGCTCTTTTCAGATTCACATGCACCATTTGCAGAAGGTATGACAAGAAGGGAGAGTAGAATGGATCCTTCAGACCTACTGTATTTAATTAATTGACAACAGATTTGCATATCCACATTATTATTCTCAATAGAAGATGTTGAATACAATGCAGATAATTGTCTACTGCTTCTGAGGAAGCTAAGAAAGAAATTTTTCTGGCAGATTAACAGAGCAACGTCTAACAAATTTACTAATTTCAAGAATTTGAACTGACAGTGTAAAATTTTTTTAATCTTGTAAGCTCTTTTCTATAGCCTTTCAAGAAAGCGTATTTTGCCAGTGAGAAACTATTTCAAATATTTTTCCAATTTTTGCAATAATTACTGCTGGATCTTAGCTTCAGAAATGACCATTTCCTGGTGCTTCTCAAGGATGAGTAGTATTTTACAACGCAGCTGATGCTGCGCTTACAAAGGGGCAATCCTTCATAGGTCTCCTTCAGTTGCACCAGAAGAAAACCACACCCAATACAATCTTTCTCGAAATATGCATCTGTATTTGCTATATCCTATGCATTCATTTATATGCAAAATAAATTATAAGGCTCCCAAAGCTGCAAGTTGCATCTGCATTATTTTTTCACCTGAGTGAAAAGCTGATTGATCAAGTGGACCAACAGACATCGGAGCTCTTGAACCTGGTGCAAAAGATGCCTGATCATGATGCTGGGCCTGATCTGCCCCACTGGACTCAGGGATTCTCACTTTGCTGCCAATATCTGATGTAGACCTGTGCATTAACAAAGAAAAAAAATAGAAGCTTTTGACATTCTGAGTGACAGATAAGATTCAGAGCCACATACATGCCTATCAGCTACAGTGTGACACGCCAGCTAGGAACGAGCTGTCTGATTTTGCTCTGGCATGACAGAAGTTTGGAGAACTGGAGAACAGCAGGTCTGGGGAAGTCTGAGGACAACTTCCTTATCCTGGTCACTACTTTGCCAAAGCATGTTATTACCATTGCACAGGACCTTTGCTTGCTGCTTCAAACAAATGCCTCAAAGTGACATGCAACAGTAAAACCAGAGCTTTACCATAGGTCATCAACACAAGACTGTAGACAATACCATACTACCACAGTATATACGACATGGTATCATATAGTAGGAGACTGCTATGGAAAGTAGCGTTGACTGCACTTGGAAAGGACTAACATCTTTTGAAATGGTGCATCCCAGTTGCTTTAGAGCTAAAATGTAATGAGTAAACGAGGATATGTCAACAGGCAGTGTCCGTACCCTGAATATTTGGACACAGTTAGGATATCGTTAGCAGCCCCTCAGAAAAGTTTCCTTTGGCCTCGGTGCTCCGCAGCAGTGCCCAGCAGTCCTGCGGTGCCTCGAACTGCAGCTGGCACCAGGCAGCACCTAATGGCACAGCACTGAATGCAAAGTGAGTTCAGCCACCACACAGTGTAAAAATTCCTTGAAATGTTTTTTATAGAGTGCCTTACTGTGAGGAAGAGGCAAAACGTATGCACTGAGCTAAGGCTATCAGGCTTTGGCACGTATTTGGCTTCAGAAAAGCAGGTATGAGGAAAGCTAGGCAGAAATCCCTGGACCCGGGGTACTGGGAAACATCTTACCATTCATCCGTATCCTGTTTCAGGTCCTTACAATAGAGAAAAGCAGGGAGAATGGCAGTGTGAATTATCTGCCACGGATCTGCAATGCAATACGCTGTTACGCGAGTTGAGGCAAAGCATGTTCTAAAAGAAATCAGAGCTTGGAATTCCCAATTTTATTGAAACTGATTAGCTAAGAGAAGAGAAAATCCATTGTTATTCATTTCCTCTTCATGTTAAAATAAAATAAAAAGATGTTTCTAATTTCACAAATGTGTCTTTATAAGTGCCTTTTAAGTGGCTTGTAAGTGTCCCTTCAGGGTTTGCCCCAGTTCTTACAACAGTGGATTTTAGAGATCGTACCTAGAATAAAACAACAGATAAATACCTCCTGAGAGAGGCAACAGCCACAGGACCTGTTCTGGGAGGGACAGGAGGAGGAGGAGAACCCATTACCATCTCAGGAAGCTGAGAGAATCTGTAAGCCTGTAAAGGAGAAAAATAAATATTTTCTGAAACACCAGTAGATCTCGGTCAAATTAAAAACCAAAAGAGAGCCAGAAATTAAATACCTGCTTTGCGTCCCAGACAACAGAAAGTTAATTTTTTGTGGCATCAATAGTAATTGCATTTTATTTGAGAATTTACAGTGCTTGGGTGATTTTAGGATGTGGAAGAAAACATGAGCAAATTAATTCAAGGCAAGATGAAGTCTAATTAAAATAAAGCATATTAAACGCTGTCTCTGACATTTGTAACCTTACTGGCAAAGCAGATCTGTTATGATTATGTGAGACTAAGCAGCTGCTTTGGACCCACAGGAAAAAGATCTCAGTATTTTCACTTCCTCCTGAAACAAAGTATTTTAAAGATTTAGGAAGCGTTCTCAGAGCAGCATCTAGTGAGTGAAGCTGCCTATGAGCAATGTGTATTTCAACCTCTTCCTTCCAGCCTTGAAGAGATGAAAATTATTCACAAAACCCCCAAGCTCTAACTTTCTGAAGTAATAACAAAGGTCTCAAACAGTTCTGAAAAAACAGAGTAATCCAGACGAACACAGGACCAGCCTACTAAGTCCCACAATTAAGCATCTTGCCCATAGCAATTCTGGATTTCATCACTAATACATTTGAAGGATGAGTAATCGTGTGCATGAAATCCATGGCACCCAAGAAATGACATGCAGGACAAAATTTTTCTTCAAAATTCTTTGTACTGCTATAGATTAGAGGTCATAATTTTTCTAAACGTACTTTAAGACAGAGGGATGATATCTCTCTAGTGCTTCATTGACACTTTTCTTCAACACACTGTGGTTTTGTTTTTCTTTTTTTTTTTTTTTTAATTATGCTTTTACTGACGATGCTTCAGAGCAATGCAGAGGATTAAAGATAAGATCAGAGCAATAGCAAATAACAGATTATGAGGAGGCTGTTCAGTATGAAGACACAGGCATTTTGATAAAAACTAGAGTCCAAAGTCTAATGGTGGGACTTTGGCTCTCTAAACAAGAAGTATCTGGTTCAGCCAGAGAAGCTCCCTCCACAAACAGCAGAGAAAGCTGAAAACACGTTCCCATGGGAGGAGTCACTCTATCTCCTGCCTTTAGGAAGAGCCTACAGGATTTACATGATTAGCTCAGACTTAACACCTGCATTTAAGTTTCAATTTGGCAATATAAATCCCACACTAAATATCAAAAACCACACTTCTTTCAGTATTCATTTTTTAAAATTACACATTTATACAGTGTTCCAATACCTTCTTTCTCAAATATCTGCAAAACTGGGTTAACACAGAGGAAAGGTAACATCAAATACTGACTGAAACATCAGTGTCTCTATGGGAAAGCAATGCAGACCAAGCTTCTTTCTCCCACCTCTCACTGCCACCCATTTTAAAGCAGGGTAGAGTCCCTCAAAGGCACATCCAGGAAAATAATTTTTCCTTTCATGCCACTTACAAAGTCTCCTAATATTTATTTTCACCATGCTACAATGGTATTTAAAGTATTTCTGTATTTAGATGGGGGAAAAAACTCTAAAGGTACAGTTCCTAGACAGGGGTTGGAAATACTGATTTTTAATGAAAGAACTGCATAGAAAAAACAAATGTTATTCACATCAAAGAAAACCTCAGTTAGATTTCTCCTAGTGCTGGACCTGAAATGGTCTGCAGTGCCTCTTCTGCATCTGAAAAGCTGGCAATGCTCTCACAGGCTGAACCAAACACTTCCTTCTGGCTCCACAAGCCTTTCATCCCACATCTTGCTCTCACCATGCATTTGTACCAAGTATAATTTTTTTTTCCCCTTATTTTAAAGGAACAGCACACAAGCTAATGTTTCAGAGTAGTCAGTGACTCCAGATACTGGTTGACTCTAACAGGGTAGACAGCGACACAGAGGCAGATTTGGGTTTTCTCTTGTGTGTTAATGGATCTGCTTTGGAACACGGACATCAAAGGAGGCATTTTAAGCAATCACAACGAAGGATTCACAAACGTCCTGTGGCTTGCACTGAAAATTTCGGGGAAAATAATAAAATAGAAAATCCAAATGCTGATTTTTCTGCTTACATAGGAGATGAATTTTGAGTGAGTGGCAACATTTTGCTAATGTCTGGGCAGAAGGAATCCAATTAGGGTGAAAAATCCTGTTACGAGCTCTGCTGTGCCATGCCAAGGAACAGTCCGTCCTGGGGGATGGCAGTCAATCCTCTTTGGGCTGAGCTTCCCCAGACACCAAAACAGTTATGAGAGGAAACTCTAATAAAATTTCTAGAATTTCTCCAGTGGATTGGGGCATTAGTATTCTCCTACATGCCACACATAAATGAAAAAAAAAAATGTACAGAGGCTGAATTAAATCAAAGTTTTACTACAGAGACCTGGCTGTTGCAGCATTAGATGAGCCCTTAGGTTCCACGCTAACTGGCATGATTGTAAAAATAAAGTCACTTCACTGAAACTTGTACACTGTTGCAAAGCCAATTAGAAAAAAAAAACCCAGCATGTATGAAGAGACTGATCTCACAGAAAATTTCCCTAATTTTATTCTTCAAAATCAGATTATCTTTTAAAAATGTTGCATCACTTTTGTTGTTCACACACACAAAAAAAAAAAAAAAAAACCACCCAAAAAAACCCCCCACACCTCCACCTGAAGAAGAGAAACATTCTGCATGGATTCCAAACTCTTGGGGATAAAACACCAAAAATTTAAAAAGCAAAACAGTGAAGATTTTAAAAGTTTTAAGTGAGGTTTAGCAGAGAAATGTCAGCCCTGTATAACGAATATCCCAGTGCTCAGGTACCTCGCATCCCCAAAGCTGCCTGATGCCCCTCACTCACCCCTCTGCCCACCGAGCCTGGACACCTTCTCCATGTGTCACCCAGCCCGCTCCCGAGCACTGCCCTTGGCAGCATCTCCCCCAGAGCTGCCGAGCAGGGGGATCCTGGGCAGGCAAACAGCTGCTCAGGTGCTGAGAGCAGTCATTCTTGCTTGTTTTTCCTACCCACAGGTCACTTCCCACACCCATTGCTGCTGGATATTTTCAATTCCAGTCCTCTGGGCTCATTTGAGAACAAACCCTTAAATGGCTTACTTAAGGTACAGCTCATATTTGTGAAACTAATACACAGAAACCTGTGAATTAACAGCCTTATCCAAAGCCCAGCAACCTGTGCATATCCTAAACTGTGGTGATCAGTTATCTTCAGGGAACATTTTAAAGCTATCTTCAAAATGCCAGAAAGATAAGCAAATGCTTAAAGAACCTAAACATATAGATGATTTAGAAGAGTAATGAGTCTTAGAAAGAAAATAGTGAAGGATTCACAAAAAAGTATGGCTATTACATTTTTTAATAAATCTGTCACCAAATAATATTTTTAATTTCATTGTAGAAAGACTCTCTGAAGTATCAAAGTAATCTGACTACCCATTAGCTGTCTCTTAAGCTTGTAATCAAATTCTAACCATAAAATATGATTATATGCTGTATGAAGTTCATCGGACCAATTTCAAAGTGCCAGAAATAACCTTTAACATGATTTAAATAGCACCAGCCTGAACCCTTGCAGGCAGTGCCATTGGCTTTCAAATACATTCAGAACCGTTGAGAAGCCGCATCATTTCATGTGTTTTTTTTTATTGTCATGGAAGAAATTCATACTAATAGTTATTTTGAACTGAGGACTTTTTCCTGCATTATTCTCTTATTCTAGCCAGAATACATACACCCCGCTACTCCTGGTTACTGTAAGCACGGCTTTACATCTGGTGTTAAGCATGTAAATGGGGCTCCATCTTAAAAAAAAAAAATGTGTCTCGGACTAGAAATATCTTTATGATATTACTAAAGAGAAGTTTCACTTACTGGTCTTGGTAAACTGTACTGATACATTTCTGGTCTGTATGTGGGTACCCACTGCACCCCGGCTCTCGGTCGGGTCATGGTACCGGGAGCGCTGGTCACAACCTCTGAGTAGGGCAAGTGTGGAGCTGAGCTGTACGCCTCCTGCCTGCTCTGCCCGCTGTGGCCCGCTGAGGCCAGGCTGAACGCCTCTTCCAAGAGCATATGCATCTGCTGTCGAACCTCATCAATGGAGGGCTGAGAACTTAAAGTTGAAGTCTCGGAGTGGCCTTTGGCCTGACAGGACCTGGTGTAACTCCGAGGCTCGTTGACACGGTCAACATTTGTTTCTTCTATAATTTCAGGCTCGGTCTGTTGGATGGAATAAAAGCATGTATACGTAAAATGCTTTACAAGACAGTATTTGTGCTGCTTCACACAAAACAAAGACAGATGTAACATACACAGAGTCAGGAATTGTGACAATAGAGATGCCGGACAAATATTGGAAAGGAGTGATACGATGCAGGCCGTTACAATAGCCAGGAACTCAAAGACCAGTTTATATCCTCCATTGTCTGCTGTGAAAACTACCAGGGACATTCTGTGGCAGATTCAATTGTCAATGATTAACTTAAAAACAATTAGAATTAATGTTTAAATTCTTTTCTTAGTTGTTAGCATCAATGGGAGTACAACTGTGCCAGGAGGAGTATGGCTCCCTCAATAGCAGCATCACTGTGAAGGACCCCTTACAAGGGACCACTTGTTACAGCCACAGGGACTGAAATTCTTTTGTCCATTCTCACAAGTTAAGATTTCAGAAGAATTAAAGTTTAGGAGTTTTCCTGGACTTTCTAACCTAGTGAGGACCACTAACAATGACACCACAAACTAGGTCCCGTCCCTTGCGGAAAATATCCTGATCCAGCTCAGTCATCTTACCTAGCCACTGAACAGTAGTCACACTGAAATTTGTCCAAAACTAATGTGGGAACAGTGAACAAAGCATGCACTCTAATGAACAGATGGGTCTTGTGCAGCTTAACCTGTGCAACTTAATTCCTTCCGTACAGTAAGTACAAATAGAAATCAGCCCCCTGATTTTTTTGCCTGTAACCCCAAGACAGAAAAAATCATATTTTTAAGAACTTGCCAGTGAAGTACCTAACTTCATCTATCTTCTGCAAAGTTAGTTTTACAGTGTATAGTTTTTAAAAAATATGTTTTAAACAGGCAACCTGAAAAATCAACCAGTTCCTTATAATTATATAAATATCAGTGAAATTAATTTAAGATGCTAGGATAACTGGTATTAAGAACAGGATATGTACCTCCTTCTATATATAGCATGTGGGTAGGATCATGTTAGCGTTTAAAATAGCCACAAATAAAAGAATACCACAGGATGTTCTTTAAAAATTCCAGCACTGTCCTGATAAATTATTTGAGTGCTCCGGAACTCCTCCTGTGGCATAATTTTTTCCCATGCAAAAGTTCTTTTCTATGCCTGACCAGATAAACTGTGCCCCCAACCTTTTGCAAGCTACGTGTGGTCATAGGTACTATAGTACAATCATAGTACATGTTTCTTCATTTGCAGAGGAAAGTGTCAAACTGACTTTCTTCTTCTGTTATCAGCCATTCAGAGAACAATTACATGGTTAACCTGAAAACTGACAATAAATTTAAATGGAAAATCTTAATATGTTTTCCCTCTTAGCTGTTATAAATATATTTTGTATGTAATGAAAATACAGCAAATAAAAAGGAAAATTAAGACAGTAATTAATCATTTGCACATTAAAATTTAATTAAAAATTAAAATTTAATTAAAATGAAGCCATTAGACTTCTATAGAATGTCTACAATATATTGTATGAATAAAGGATGCACATTAACAGTCAACATTAAGTCAGCATTGATTTATCAATATAAAAGTTGGCACAAAGATTTTGAGGAAACTGGTGAGCGCTACTTTTCCTCAAGGTTTAAAATTTATTTCAATTCATCCTGTCATTTTCTGATGTATGTCATTTGTTTTCATATCAATTGAAACGTAAATATCATAAATAGATGCCATTATATGTTAAGGTTACCATTATAAAAATCCAGATATTGTTCATACACAGTTAATACATAATGCAAGGAACTGGAATTATGTGAAGAAGGAAACAAAGTCCTGTACTGAGAGACAGAGTTTATACTCTTCTGGCATTATCAGTAAAATTCTTCATATGAGCATTAATCCATGAGCTTTTTGAGGAGCGGCATTAATTTAAGTATATCCACAAAATTATACCAGTAAATTCTTCTGTATATTGTTCTCTTAGATATGTATTATAATGTAATTTTCTCCGTTTTACACCAAAAACAGCTGAAGTATTTTCTGCCCTAGTATAAAGCTCATTAGGAGACCAGAGGTTCTAGACTCCATTATGGCATTTGCTCTGCTCACAATTGTCTGTGAACGTGTCAGACCTAATAAACACGCTAATAAAGTCTCCTCAATCTACTTGCTAGGTGAAGATGATGATACTAAACCCTGTTGGGGATTATTTAAAATTGAAAGATAGGTACTGTTCAATAATAATCCATTTATACAAGATATTATAAAGGCAAATAATATACTCAGAACATCAAATAGTAGAATGTACACTCCAAAATAATACAAAAGGCTACGTAGTCTATATAGACAGGGATGGAACAACTATTGACCTCATATCCTGACCAGATTTTAGCTCTGAGAATCATGATTCAGAGAAATATCACCACACAAAAAAAAAAAAAAATCATTACAGGGAGTGGAATATTTTTAGAAAACCATAACTGAAATATTAGAAAGGGGAACTATGTTAAAAAAAAATCAATAGGATGGAGTGGCAGATTTCTGAGTTCTTACTTCCTTCGCCTATTTAAAGGACAAGGCAAAATCAGGCAGATCATAAACTCTCAGGATTTGGTTGTGCATGAGTCTAGGAGTTCTTAAGGAGTTTTCTTCAAGAATCTGGGGAATCTTAGCCCTTTTTCTTAAAGAAAAAAAAAAAAAACACAAACCCCACACCAAACCAACAACCAACCAATCAAAGCACGCACCATTTATCATAGTTGACTAGATAAACCTCAAAACATAACTTGGGCATACTGGTAACAGTTCTCATAACTTGAACATCCTATGGGCTATATGATTAATTAATTTGATCATCTGCTTACAAAAGACCAATCATTTGTCAGCAGGACTTGCCACTAAATAACATACTGGGAGGAAGATGTTAGCAGGAGTCTGAGAAGGCTGGAACTTTCAGAACAACGAAGTGGATGCCAAAAAATGGTATAGGACATTACTCGATAAAAAAAGAAAGGACACATGATTCAGCATACAAACCAGCCCTTTTCCAGAGCCCTTTTCACCCATTTTCAGAGATCAGCTTTACAATGGTGTTTAGTCACCACTGGTGAGATCCATATAAATTCCATGCATAAATACAGATATAAGTGCCTGGCCGTGGGTATCCTGGGAGACCAGAGCTGTCAGACACACAGCACAGCACTGAGGAGCCTCGAACAGGAGCGATGGAAACCAGCCCACGCTGCCAGCTGAGGCTGGGGAACTAAATTTCAATATGCTGTCCTGTTTTCCCCTGGCATTTTTCTGCTTTCAGATGGGAAATACATTCGGAGTTAGAAGAGGTGCACTGCAGTGAATCTGCAGCACATCAGGCAAAAGGCGTTTTATGTAACTTGTCAGTAGAAAAGACTGTGCCACAGAGAGCTCGCCCAACCTTAAAAGCAAGGCAAAAGCAAACTGGTGCGCCATGTGCACAGACCTCAGAGCTGTAATTACTTTTAGGACATTTCAGAATCTGCATAAGCTCATTAAACTACCTTCAAGGTTTTTAACATTTTTTTCTTTAAATTACATTTTATTTATAGTATACACGATATATTAAAATATATTTTAAAAAAATCTTCTGCTAACTACTTATGGAAAATTAAATTTGAACAAATAACAGGAGGTCATGTCTGCCCCCCAGAATGTTTTTGACATTCATTTCAGGAAGATATCACCTATGAAAAACTACCTTTTACTAGCATATTTAAAAAATCTCTTGCTTTCTTGAAACATATGTATTTCAGGATAAGGAGGGAAGGCTGGCTTGACAATGTTTTTATTATGTAAGAAAGCTCCAACACTAAAGCAAGCACTTAAGTGGGGTAAGAAAAAAGAAGCAAACAACCTTTTTGCAAAATGTAAACCTATTTTAACAGGTTAAACCGTTCTTTTTCAGGCTGGAATGATGTATTGTAATGCCTCAGAAAGTAGTGAGCCAGTCATCCCACTTACACGGCACAACACAACTCACGCGATCTGATGTGAAGTGTCCAAATGCAGGAAATCATTTAAGAAATCTGACACCTACAACATGCCCCAAAGAGTTCTGTAAAAGATTTAAACTTCCTGGAACACATCTCCTCACCCTGGTACATTCCTTCACCTTGCTAACAAGGCATCCCTGGCAGCTGAGTTGACAATTAAGCCCCACACAACTTGTCAGCTACAGAGTTTAGAGGATGAACAACCGCCAGATGAACTTCCTTCTTTTTCAGAACAGTCTGGACCTTTTCCAGGGACGGCTGAGCTACAGCATTTTGTACATGTGATGAAGGATTGAAAAATTCAATGTTACCCCAGTGTGGGGACTTCCTATCCTCATTCTGGGTGCACCCCGTGTCAACTTGCACCCAGTGTATGTTCAGACAGCACATATGTTCAGACTCATCCAGCCTTATGTTGGCCACCTGAGGTCCTTGGACCATAAACCAGCATTTCCTCTGACTAGTTTGGCATTTACCTATCCAAAACTCTCCCAGTTCTGATGTAGTAAGAGGACAATATCAGTTCCCAAGGGATTTCCACTAAACATTGACATGTGGATTTAAGTGAAATTCCGACAAGTTGGTTGTTCGTTCTTCTGAATCAAGAGAGCAGCATCAAGGGTGAAGAATAAGCAGAGAACTTTAACTGTAATGAAAAAACCTTGGTATCAAGTCAGGGGCCATCTACTTTGAAGAACTATATAGATTAAAAATTAAATACTTTGGTAAATAATGAGTTTCAGGGCAAAGGTTTTGTTTGCATTTCACACCGTTAAACAATGTGCAGATAAAAAATACATGAAAGAGTCCATGGTCCAAGTATCCTGAAGATTTTTACAAGATGCTGAGTGCACACAACTACCATAACATTAAATACCCAGTGGTACTCTGGCATGTAGCTTATCGATAGTTTCCTAGTTTTAGGAGTAAGTTAAGACTTTGCTGAGCAAACTTCAGCACATAAATCTGCTAAACTTACATCATATCCACTGTTACGGATTCCACGTCTAGGTCTTTCTCGAGTCACTAGAAGATCCATCTCGGTTTCTCCTGGGCTAGGGCTGTTCAAAGACTGCCTGCTTCTGTACACTGAGTTCTTCATCGGTTGCCTAGAAAACAAGAAATAAAACAGTAAAGCTAAAAGAAAACAAAAAAAAAATGACAGCAGTTTTCAATACTTGCCTTTATTTTAAAATTATGAGGTTCATAAAAATGACACTTCATTATATGTAGGGTACCCTTTCCATGTTTATGGAAGTGCTAGAAATCAGTAACATTATTAAGAGATCATTAATTTTGTTTACTTTTGAATAAAATAAAGCTACATAAAAGACATGGACAATATATATGGGAGCTTATCAGTTGAAATATGTCACAAGAAGATATCAGAACCCTTTTAACCTCAGCTGATATGATTCAAATTCATAAAAAATAAAAAGGTGTTATTATCAAAATGTAATAGGACCTCCCACACACTCAGATGGGGAGCAGGGATTTTGGTTTGCTGATCCTGAGCAATGAGAAAGAAGCAGAAAAATGCTCCACTGAAATAAACACCCTGCAAAGTGAACAGGATGAGACACAGGAGTGGGAGGGAACTGCTTGCAAGATGCTGGTTTTAAATAGCCAGTTTGGTAACTGGCTACAAGTTTATGAGAGCTGTACTCCCTGGGATTAAACCACTTCCAGCATAGCTCTGAGCAGCACTGGGGCCAAGGCATCCCCAGGCGTTGAGCTTTCACCACTGTTTTCTCAGAATCAACCGTAAGCAAACGTAATGGAAAGACAGCATATAACTCAATACCCAAAATGTCCTGTAATCTTTCCAATGCAACCATTTCTTCCCTCGTTATTGGTTATACAAACACAAATATAGCACTCCTCTGTAAGATACAGAGCATATCTGTACATGAACTCTTCACAAGTGGTTGCCAAATTGTGATACTACAGAAACATTATGCTTCATCAAACTGCATCTTTTAAGAAGGCTACATCTAAACCAGAAAAGTTCAGGAGATGGTGTTCTCATAGTGCATCTGGCCATTAGCCATTTTCTTGCATATCCCAGAGAATCCTACAGCAAGGGAGAGTGGCTACAGAGGCAATAACCATCAGTCAGAGCACAACAGCCTTCAGCCGTGATTGGCAAATTTGTAGGAATCAGAGAAGAGTGGAAAGCAGAAATTTGAAAGGGGGGCTATTGAAGAGAGAAGACTTGAGTGACTTTTGCATCATTTTCCCATGCTTTGCCAAGTAACTTGACAGAAAATGCAGTCTTGTGCTAAGGTTTGATTAAAGGGCAAAAAATGCTTGTATTAAAGTTAAGTGAGCCTGTGAGCTCTATTTGAGTCAATAAGTGGAGTTAAAATAAGGTCTCCAGAGTCTGAAATGTTTGGGACTGCCTGAGCTGATTACAAAGAGATCTACTACAATATTTGAGACATTGAAAAGCCTAGGACCATTTCTGTAAGTGTCATAAGAGAAAAACACACTAAGTAGCCTCTGTTCCTTTCAGCAATTACAAAACTTTGTGGTTTAATCTCTCAAGAACCATCAACGAAACAAAAAGAGAACACAGTCCAAATGAATTCACTGATGAGAAAGAACTCTTCAGATGGTACAGACTTGGTTAACAGAACGTTTTTGCCTTGACAGATTAGAGCAGCAGAAACTGGTTTGCAGAAAGCCAGAAAGACAGATATTTACATGATCAGACAGGATAAAAGGTAGGACAAAAAAAAATATCAGTTTCATGCTTTTGATTAAATTAAATACTCAGGCATGTACTTAATTTTAAGGCAACTTTCCAAAACTTTTATGTGACTTTTAATCACAGATCTCCATACGCGTGCTTGAAAGTCCCAAATGCACAGCCAAAGCAGAAGACAAGCAGAGGTTTGGGAATAAATTTTCCCTATAAATATAATATGGAATAAATTAACTTGCCTTATCCTGTTTCTCCCAAGACTATACTGTCAGTATAACCAGAAAACACGGGGAATTAGGTTATGCTAGGGCTAATCACATCTGACAATCTTTATGTTCCTACATTAAAGGTCTCTAAAATTTCATACGTGTTTTACAGTAGGTCCATAAGTACCTAGTTGATGCAGTTGTGATATATTTTCTAAGGGATTCAAATATACAGTGCTCTGATACATGCAGATTCTTGACCTCATTACAAACTATTAAAGAAAAACCCAGAATAGTGTGTATCATCAGTAGGGTCTTAAAAATTGCCCTGAGATTGCCAATTAGCTCATTTAAGAAAGTTTTACTAATGAGAAAGGAGGTATGAACGCTAATAACTGGCATTCAAATGGGTTAGTAAGTGCCTTCTGGGAACACAACTGGAACATTTTAAACATGAATTTTATGGTACAGAAGACTCAAAGGTACTAAGAACACAAAGCTGTTTGTTCTTGAACACATCAAATTATTTAGTGGCGATATTTTGTAAATCACTTTTAAATGCAATTTAAAACAAATCCAAAATGTAAAGGTGATCTTGAATAATGTAGTCAATTGCATCTTTATTTTTTGATATGGTTTGGAAATGCTGTAATAGTGTGATTTAATTTAGTGGAATATACACAAAACAGAAAAGAGCGGAATAGAGCTTTTCCCTAGAAACTTTGAATCTTTGGCTTATTCCAAAGTTATATTATTTTTTTAAAAATATAATAAATGTCTCAGTTTTTAATTGCTCTAAATATAATGCTTCAATCAATGATACAAAGCAGTAAAAGTTAGAAATCGAATCTTTTCACTTTTATGCTAGATTGCTTTAAAAGCAAAATTATTTCATTACAGAAATACAATTGTATTGATTCATTTATCAATAACCAAAACGCACATTACGTTGCAGTATTATTCAAGGTTTTCCTCCAGCACTATGCCATTTTAGCCATGTCATTTTTAGTTATAAAAATGAAGACAACTATGCTGTTGTGTGTTACAGCATATCATTCCAGGCAAATTTTAGCATAAACTTTGGAGTTGGTTTGTTTGCAAACATCTGTGAAGGTCTCTAAATGCTTTGTGTCTTTACAGTACACCAGAAATGGTTCTTCTCTCTTCCTATAGAGGGATATAGGCTATATATTTAACAAGGAAATCCAGCAGTCAGCCTTTTATGGTTCAGCTACACAACAAAATCATTCCTCTCCAGCAGTATACCTGCCTTCAAGCAGTTATATCATGCTAGTCATCACTATCTCAAATAGACTCTGACAGCTTTACACAACACATTAGAAAGCATGCAGAAAAAAAATGTAGTCCGGGACCTTTCAGCACATTGGCACATGAACAAACATCAGTATATTTAACAAAAAGCAGATGGTTAGCATTAAAGCTTCATCTGTAATGTTTTAAACATTTCCTACATGGCATGTGACACATAATAAATATCCAAAGTAATGCCTCAGTCCTTCGCTGTATGTACAGCACACAGTCATATCAAAGTTTCTACTGTTTCATTTCTGTCTTCTGGACAGACCGTGCAGACAGAGCAGGACTCCTGTGTACTGAGGGTTCAGTATCTTAACTTTTCAGTGCATTTGGAGCAATTTATTCCTCTTTCACTGGAAAACTCCACAAGGAAATGATGCCCCAGACCCTCCAACAAGGACATAATATACAGTTAAGTCAGCAATTTTTTTTTTTCATTGGCTAGTGCAGCTCTGGGAAACAGAGCAGTATCCCTCAGTCATGTAACTCGAGACCTATAGAAGTTCATCTGATCACAGCTTTTGCCCATATTCTGAGCCAACACTGGTTTTATATTCCCGTTACAGTCTTTTTCATACTTGTGCCCCAAGGGCAATTGCTGAAGTTGCACTATATGCAAAGCCTGTGTCACCACCGACGCTTTGATTGCAGGCATGACTTATGCTCATAGAAAAACTTTGGTCTGAACTTCCCAGGAGATGGGATGCAAAACTGCACCTCCAAGCACGAGAGCATTTCCAGAGGAACTGGGCTTCAGTATCTCTTTTTCTCTCATGGATCAACTGCTGCTGGTCCCTGGGTACAGTAAGAACCAGAGCCCTCGCAGTGCAAGGTGCGATAAGAAACACACTCTCTGATAACCCTTCACACCTCCATCACTCCGAGGGAGAGGAATCTGCATACTGCACCGTTCCTGGGCTAGGACTGGTGTGATCTCCTCTTTTCAATGTGTCGACTTGTGCTTCAGAGAGCACCAGCGTTGGAGCAGGTCCATCCACCCACCCACCCGCAGTGGGCTCAGGCAGAATCAGCATGTGCACTCCCCCCTTCCTTTCTAAAGCGGGGAGACAGATACTACTGGTGTGCCATCTTCAAGAGACAGTGGAGTGTTAATCACACATTAGGACTGTTATACAATATGCCAGCTTAGCGTCACAGAAGAGCGAATTATGACTTTCTCTGTTAAAGGCACAGGAAGACCACCAATAACAGGTACACACATGTCCCTACACATACCATCCCTGCAGGACTTCCTGAAATATACAGACAACCTGGTGGTTGTGTTATCTTATGCCTACTGCAATAGTTATATTCAAATAAAAATAATGACAAAATTATAACACCACTGAACTGTGGAAAAGAATGAATTCAGATGCTAGCTTCATGGCTTAAGTCCACTCTCAGCATTACAAAAAAAATTACCATCACTTTTTCCGTTTACTTTACTTGGAAGATTACTCACAAGAACTTGCAACAGTCCCTCCCCTTATTTTTTTTTTTTTTTGTCTTCAATTTCTTTCTTTTCAAACACATTGCAGTTTTACCAGAAGACATACTTTCATAAATGATCATGGCTTGCATGAATTTTCTTCATAAAGTAGGAGGGACCAGCTGACTGTAGAGCAATGGCCCCTTTGATTCCCTGCAACCCCTGGACATCAACTTTCCTCCCAGATGAAGAACTGTATACAAAATCTCACCTGTTCTTAGGTTCAGCAAATGGAGACGAGACATCTGCATCTGGATCCAAGATGTGGTCAAGTTCTTTCTGGTTTTTTTCATACATCCTTTTTCTCTCTGTCAGCCCCTTGTTGTTATCAACCTGCGGGAAATCGTAGTACCCCTTCCTCTTGGCTTTCAAGCGCAGCTTGTTGCGGTAATGTTCTATATCGGACTTCTGCTTCAAAGCCTTGTTCACCTAAAAGGCAAAAAGACATTTAAAGGATGGTGCTGGGCTGACTACTTCCAAATGGTATTGTTGGAGTGTGTTTGATGCGCTGCATGTGTCATTTTACAGAGCGCTTTTCGTACCACACCGTGCCATCTGTAAGAAGCGAGGAACTGCAAGTGAACAGAGTCGCTGCATTTTTATGGCTTGGCAGATGGTTAAATAATTTTAGCCTAAAAACTATGTACCATCACAACAGTGACTCAGATACACCCACTGAAGAAAAACACCAATGATGTTAGCCAATTGTCATGACCCAATGCCGTGCTTGCTTATGGGCACCGTGGGGAGAACTCACCGATGAAAACTCTTCCAGGGTCCTGTAAGTACAGAGACTTCACCCCAACTACACAGAACCTTAAATAAGATGTAACTGGTGACTGGTGAATAATTCCAGTGAAATGTCATTCTATGTTCCTCTTATTTATATGCTTCCTTACAAATCTGTTACGGGCTCCTGTCAGAGACAGGATCCTTAAATAAAGGCGTGTTGGATCTCACCTGGTACGGGTCAGGTTCCATGGATGCTCCGAAGTATTGAAAAAATTTCTCTCTGCTTGAAATTGTTAGTTACATGGAAACAAGCAATCCACTTGGGCTCTGTGCTTCCAGAGTCAAATTCTACAGTCTTCTGACGAATTTCAAGAAATGCATGTACAAGAGAGCACACATCACCGGGAGTGCCATCCTGGTGACTTACAGAAAATAGATGCTGAAAGCTAAATAAGCCTTTCTCTGAGTTTGGAAACTATGTGGCATGTCAGGGCTTAAAGTACTAGTATGAAAAGGAGCACGCCAGACTGCTCTAATCCAGGCCCGCATGGGAAGCCCGATGACATTGTCTTTTGCTGTGTCTCTGGCAGCAGCCCTCCCTGTTGCTTCTCAACAGCATCAGGGAGATGCTACCTGATTTTTAAATGACTGCTGCAGCGTGAGTATGCAAACAAGACACCTTTCTGGCTTGTCCCCATCGTGTTAAACAACTGTATAAAAGCCTCAGTCCTTTGTAAATGAACCAGTCTTGATTAAATCTACATAAAACCATGAATAATCATAAAAGCACTGGAGCCAAAGCATGGGTTTTGGCCAGCACCTGGATCAGACACTTGTGCCATCCCACTTTGTTCCCAGGGATAAACTGCACCATCTGTGCACAGGCTGGAGTGCAGACTGAGGAAAGCCATGGTCCTGTCCCACCCCTTCTTGCTCTGGATGAGATGTATTGCCCAGAAGGATCAGCTTGGGACCCAGAGGATCTATATACATTTCCATGTTCAGCCACAGAATTAATGTGGGCAAAGATGTTGTTCTGCCCTCTGCTTTCATTACTCATCTTGTTAAAACTACTATGATAAGAGAGAAGGATATTGAGAAGGTAGGAATATAGGCAGTTGCTTCTTCCGAGGTTGCAGGCATTCATAGGTGCATTACAAAAGAGCAGATCTTAAATTCTCAAACCTCCAAGCCCACAAGGCTAATGGGACTTTATATAGCATCAGGGTGAAAAAGCTTCTACCGGTCCTCAACTCTAACAGACTTCAGATTGTTCCACCTGTGGATGTAGCCAAGGAAACAGCTGGAGACGTTATCAGACGGTCCTTACCTCTCCATTAATGATGGCAGGTTCCTGGCTTCTCTCTGACGCAGCATGAACAGCAGGTAGTGCCACAGGTTTGATAGCGATCAGCTGAACCGATCCAGAAGAGGTGTCGAAGGGGTCAATGGCAGATTTGGCAATGTTATCAAAGAGAATGCCTCCTTCCTCTTCATCACTTACAGGGACTAAAGCACATCAAACTTACTCAGCATAAAGACACAGATACTTTTACCACATGTTCAAAGTGAAATTCAGTGAGCACATGCTTTAGATTAATGATGTGCTCAGTATACTTGAGGAGCAGACGAGGGAGACCTTTACACTGGAAAAAAAAGAATATGGTGTATTCAAATGATTATCTGGCACTCCCCCAAAGAAGCCTGACTTCCAGTCTGCACTAACAAGATGGAAAATAAAAGGAGAAAAAGAATGACACAGAAAATTGTATTAAAATGACAATGGAAGTCAAAGTACATCTTTTTGTAGGTTTCACATGGAAAAGACATTATACACACACGCACACACTTCTCCACATGCCAAGGCACCAGTAGTTACACCTGATCTAATCCAAGAGCACAGCTTTCTAATCCAAGAGCGCAGCTTTCTTTGCGTCTCATACTGCAAGAGCATGGGCATTCACAAAATTTAAAAAATAAACCTACTGATTTTAGCAGAAGTTTTTAATGCTAAAAATGCCATCTGTTAAAAGCATTACTGTTGTGTGCTACATGCTTAAGAAACTGATGGTGTCCAAGTGCACGTTATATTTTTTGCTTTGCAGAGCAGTACCTCAGGCGGCTGTAAAGTTGAGCCATTAAAATTTCTTAAGAGACAGGAATGGCTTAGTGAAGCAACTTCAGTTTTAGATCTCTATATAAATGGATAACTCTCTCACATACAATCGGGCCCTTTCTCCTCCAAATTTTGTTTGTAAACACACATCACTTTATCAGCTGTTGAATCTTTTATCCTCATTTTGGAATAAAATAATGACTCTAAAGCATGAGCACAAATTCTATAAAGAGATTCTTGCAAATATTTTTGAATAATTGTGCTATTAGAAGAAAGAATGTTTGCTCCATAACTGACATGAGCAGAGATCCTCTGCTAAACAACAAAGTTGTCTGCTCTATATTTATTTCCTCTGAAAATACACTCTGTTTTAATATTTAATCACTGCGCAAATTACAATGGACTTGTATAAACTCAGCAATTTAGACAGTCAGTGATTTTGGTAAGAAAATATTTGACAGTGGTAACATAAAATACGAACCCACTGAGTAAGCCTATTACCCCTCTGCCTGTGCTCAGTGTGGACTGGAGTTGACACTACTTGAGCTTTTGAGAAATAGACGGGTTAAATCACTCTGTCATTAAATATTGTTCCTCCGGCTCTGCAGAACTGTCCAAATATGATAGAGGAGTCTTTAGTGGGTCTGAAATCCCTTCGTCCCTGCTGGGGTTGTTCAAACACCCTGAACTCGTATGCTCACTGGAGTGAGCGGATCACAAGCCTGGCTCACTGAAATTAACTGCCCAACTCCCACCAATGACCATGCCACCACGGCACCACAGCTGCAAAATCAGATGAAGGAAGAGATACTTGGCTGTCACAGACCCACTTGAACAGGAGAGCATTTGCATCACAATGAGTATGAAAATGCAGCATGGATGCTCTTCCCGCGAGGCACCGTGAGTCAGTTCAGTTCCCATGTAAGTCACCAGTTGCAGCCCTGGAAGATGGGTGTCTTCTGTAATTCACCTCTGAAACTTCCACTAACTACCCTAGCAAAGTACCTCCATTGTGACACCACTATCTCCGAGAGAAGCAGTTTGTTTGAACTGTATTTTGCACTGACAAAGGTGGTCTGTCATGATGATTACACCTCAGGTGAGCCTGGATGGTATCTCCTCAGCAATCCAAGTACCAAGAAGTTGTGGCGTTCCTTCCCTTGGCTGCCTGTCTCAGCATTTGCCTGAACCAGGCATGCCTGAAAACCCTGGCTAAGCATCAACTCGCAAAACATGAGTCTTTCCAAACATCTTCTGTGTATGCTGCTTCAAGCAGAAAACACCAAGACCTGTGGCTGCATTTCCACCCCAGTGTTTCAGGATGGCTCTTGCTGGGACCTCAGCAGTGATCTCCAGGCTCCCACAGGGAGCATGACGAGCTACAGATGGGTTGTCTCCTCAGACCTCATTTCAGGATCAGAAACCAAGAGTTTTGCTTAATTAAACAGAGTTCCTCTGGTTCAAAGACTTGTTAAAGAGAAGAAAAAATAAGGGTAAAGAGAATCACAGACGACAGGTACTTCTAGTGTGGTACATTAACGCTGAAGAGCACCTGCAGTGCATCAGCCCTCTTCTTTGTGAGCACATCTCCTGTATCTACTGCAGTGCTACTGGCCTGGAAAGAATAGCCAAATGGGACTAGAACTTGGAAGTCTATTCCACCTTAGCATAGCATTTGTTCATTAATTGGCATTTATAATATAAAAGTAGTTTTTTCCATTGCCCTTTTCCCACCGATGAGTGATAAAGAGAGCCTGTGCTCTGCAGTTACTGGCACGCTGCTGTAGTTTGTATTGGCTGTGAATCATAACCAAGTACTGGGGGAATTTTGATATTTGCTCCTACCTATCCCTTTCTGAGAGAATTTACAGCAAGCGCTTATAATGCCATTGAACCACAGCAACCTCTAAACTTTAAAAAAACAAACCAGAGGGAGCTCAGAGGAGAAGTCCTGGTGTGTATTTCTGCTGTGTATCCCTGCCCCAGCACAGTCCACCCATGGGAATGCCTCAGCTGGGCAGGTGATTGATGGGTGTGAGAAACTTCAGAAAACTACCCAGTTGTTCTTTATAGTCACAATAAGCACATTTTCTTATTATAATTAGCAACACAGATTTAAAGTTATGCTTTTAATTACTGTTTTTAAACAGATGCATACCAATATTTTATGGATTCGTTGTTCTGCTCTTGCTTGCCCTGTCTGCCTGCACATATAGTGAGACTTAGAAGTTCAGTGGCAGAAAAAGGCAAAAAACCAACTTAATCACCTGCTTAACAGTAATTTCCCTTCTCTGAAACCTCTTGTGCTAGATATCTGATGCCACATGATCCACAGAGATTGAATTACTCCTCCTAATCTTCCTGTGACTGAAGCACATAAAGATACATCCAAAGCAATAATTTACTCAGTTTGAGTGCCAATTGCAGAGTGGCTCTGGGGTTCTGAAGAGCAGGACCATCGCTGAAGTTTTATCTCCACTCATTGCAGCTGTGAGTAGACAAAATCTGCCAGATGAAACCTGCTTCAGGGATGATGCTGGCCTCCAGCTGCGGTGCAGCTCTGCGCGATCTCCAGCCGGCAGTGCCAGCAGATGGTGCTGCCCACTCGTGCCACTGGTCCTCCAGCCCCTGGAAAAGGGGCTATGAAACTGTCACTCTGGACAGTTAAGAAACATTTGGACAGGGGGAATATTCTATTTTTATCTAGTTATTGATTTATACTCAAAAATTAAAAGTTATACTTTTTCAGCCTAAGATTTTAATATGAAGGCCAAACA